CCAGGAGTGACAGGGAGCCAGCTGTGGGGGGAGGAGTGATTAGCACCCCAGCTGGCTTTGAAGTGCAAACGAGGTGCCCAGGAGGGTGGGGACAAAACTGGTTCAGAGGAAGGGGACATTCACAGCCTCACAGAAACAGAGACCAGGAAAGGGACAGAGAGAGAGGAACAGAAGCAGATGCAGAGACAGAGGTGGCCAGGGACTGCTCTGGGGTGTTCAGCACAGCTAGGTGGACACAAACTCTGCTGTTGGCACTGGCATTGCAGGCAGGGCAGATGGTGGCATCGTCATGGGGCTGGAAGTGTAGTGAGGCTGCAGCCTGTGTCCTGTCACAGGTGTGGCCTCGGCAGGCGATGGGCTCCTGTCCTGCAGTGGGAGCCCCAGAGCAGCACCGACAGCACAGCCCAAACCCGTGTGCTCCGGGGAGGGGTGCTCCCGGGGCCAGTGCAGGGCCTCACAGCCAGCATTCATGCACCAGTGCCTGAGTGGGTGGGCACAGGGCCCTGCTGCTCTGCGCTGCACTTGGCCCTCTACTGTCATGACCAGCGAGCCCCAGGAGAGCCCTGCCACACAGCAGTTCCAGGTCACTCTAGCTAACCGACCTCGACCAAAGCCGTCGTTCTGTGGAAAGCACAGCCAAGCCTGGGGAGCAGAGGCTCTGGGACCCATGGTTCACACAGAACACAGCTTCCTACCTCCCCTCACAGGAGGACCAGGTGGGCCACCCAGGCTGCTGGCCTTGAGTGTAGGTGACTGAAGTCCCTGCAGGATGAGTTCCAAAGTGGGGACACCACGAGATCTCACCCCATCATCCCACCTAATGCCATCTCCAGCTGCCTGCCCAGCTCAGGAAGAGGGGGCCCGCTCCATGACCCACAGGGAAGCTGGGAGCCCTGGGTGGGCAGCAGAGTACCCCATTAGAGCCTAGAGTGGACAGGGCAGCACAGACAGGAAGAAGCCAACCCCAAATCTGACCTGCACAGGGCCAGTGGGGACACACTTGGTGGGGGAGAGACGCCTGGCACCTGGCACATCCCCTGCTGCACTAGGGGAAGGCTGTGTCCAGGACCGAGGCCTGGGAGCCTGGGAGCACCAGGGTGGGGGGTACAGACAAAATCAGGGGGCTTAGGAGATGCTGGGCACGGTGACAGTGGTGAAAGACAGGGCGGCCACCAAGCACAGCTCAGGAGCCAAGAGTCAGAGCTGCAGCCAGAGCAGGCCTGGGCCAGGTAGGGCCAGGCCACTGACCCTCTCTGCTGGGCAGAGCACAGTGACCTTAGACAAGGGCACTTGCTGTCCCACCGCAGCCACTTCCTCGATGGGCAGCCCAAGTGTTGCAGGCAACTGAGTTAAAAATATAGGCGGGGAGACAGGGCTGGGTCCTCCAAGGAGCCAGCGTCAAAGCTGGCAACTCCTGGGGAGACAGACACCTCCTGCTGTGGGCCAGGCCTCAAGACAAAGGATCAAACAAATGCATCTACATACTAAAAACTGATACTCTAATTAGTTCCCCATCACCATCCCATCCCCCTAGAGGAAAGGTCACAACTCTAAGAATGCCTGCTTCCTATGCAACTTGCTTTCCCATTTGTCCCTAATTAACCAATTTTACCTGAATTATTAATCTTATTGGTTAACTATAGTTATGTCCCACCTTTTGCCCATCTGCCTTGTGAGTTCCCAGTCCTGTCGTGCCCTCCCTCCCCGCCTTGAACCCGTGATTTTGCTCTATAAAAGTTCATGGAAAAGACAGAGTCCTGGGCAACCTTGAGACCCCTTCTGTCTCTCCTCAGACAGAAGCTTTCTTTCTCTCAATAAATATATTCTACTCTTACCTCTGTTGTTCCTAAAATTCATTCTTCATTTTTAGAGAACACGAGCTCATACCGGACATAGTAGGTCGGGAGCTTCATTCCCCTATATCCCGAGGACACAGGTGTATCCCCTCCTGCCTCAGTTAAATAATAAAACATTTGTGGGGCCGCCCTGGGCGCTGTGCTGTGAGGTAGCGTGGAAATATTACTGTTTTAGACAACTCCAGGGCTCCATCACCAGCCACCAAGGGGCTGTTATCTCATCCTCAGAGTAGCTGTCTCCAAGCTGATTAATTAGAACTCAATTTTTCAGACTTTCTAATTTAGATGTTAATAAATTCAGTAATTTTATCTCTTTGTTGTTCTAGATAAGCTCCCTCAGGGACAGCTTCTCATTTCTGAGGGTGACCAAGGTGAAAATGCTCCTCACTGTATTGTAAATGCCGTGGACAAGAAATGACGGAACTGCACCGTGAGGGTCCGGTGCCCCCTGCCCAGTGCTGCCGTAGCGGGAGTGAATATTCCCAGGAATGGAGGGGCTCACACAGCTGGAGCTATTGTCTAATTTCTCCGTCCAGCCATCTGTCTTTTCATTTAATTAACTTTGCCTCGATATTTATCCAAAGGAAAGAAGATGCAGAAGCAGAGAGAAAATGATGTTGGTGTGTCCCCGACCCCTACCCTTCAGCCGCTGCCACACCCTCTGTGGGAGAGGCAGGTCACCCAGAGAGAGGGCCAGCCTCATCCCTCAGGGCCTTGTGGTGCTGGCTGGGGCCAGGGAAAGGGCAGTGCTAGGAGCTGTGGGCAGCGGAGGCCTGGGGGCAGAGGGCTGTGCCACCCCGGGAGCTGCCCGGCAGCTCCGGCCAGGACTACAGGGCCCTGGCAGCACAGGTCCACGCTGGGCACAGCACCAGAGTTGTCATCTGTCCAGATCCCTGGGGCTGCATGGAGAGGCCTCAGCTGCCTGTGGAAGTGGCTGCCACTGTAGCTTGGTTGAGAGTGTCTCCCAGGGACCATGAGCAGAGGTCAGGCCGAGCTGAGGCACTGCTGGGAGGGGCGGGACCTCAGGCACCCTGGAGTCCAGGGTGAGCCCAGGAGGGGCAGCTGGATCCCACCTCTGTTGCTTCCCTGAGCCTTGAGGTTCAGCTCCATCGTGACCCTGCTCCATCATGACACACAGCATCCAACAGACCCTCGAAAGAGGGCCGTGACAGGGACGGCAGCCTTGGAGCAGTGAGCTACGGCCAACACTTCCTTCTTGGGCATCCAGCCTCTCTGATGTGGCGACAGCCAGGCACTGCTGCTGAGTATGAATCCAGGCCACGGCTTACCACGGCCTCCCTGCCCCATGGAGCCCTCTTCCCCTGCCCTGGGTGGGCTGGGTGGCTCCTGGCTGCATGTGAGGCCACACTCTGACCTGAGACGGGCTTGTTTACAGAGGCCACAGGGTCCCCAGGCCCTGCCCTCCGTCTCCCTTAGCCATGAGCTGCGGCACACGGTGGGCACTCAGCAAATGCAGCAGTGAGGTGAAACATCCAGGAGCCAGGGCCTATCCCTCTATCCCACCCGCCACCCTGGGGTGCTGCACAGGGTGCACCTGTGTCCCATTCCATTGTCCAAGGTGGAGGAGACCAGGCCGGGCTCAGCTCAGGGTGCAGCACTTTGCCAGCATTCTCAGGCCCCAGGTCCACCCCAGCTCCACCTGAGTCCAACAGCATGATAAGCAGGACAGCCCATGGGGAGCCTCCCACAGGCCATGCTGCCACACAGGTAAACTAATACCCTACACTTCTGGCTGGCCCAGGTGGGAGGGTCAGGGTGACCTGAGCCCAGCAGCTGGTTTACCCCATTTGTGTGCAGAAGGCTCCCAGGCCAGGACCCCCAGACATCAGCCGGACTCCCAAGCAAGGGGTGTCCACCTCCAGATGCTACAGGGGACAACGCACCCGGTGGCCTTGTGGATTTTAAAGCTGAATTTTAAAGCACTTTGCAAAGCGCCACATAAATAACCCTTGAATGAGTCATCATCACATTTATAAAACTCTGTGGGCAGCAGAGAAATGCCTGAGGGAGGCAGAGCTGCCCGTCTCCACAGGGCTGAGGCTGGGGGAAGCTTGTGTCCTCCCCGTTGGCAGTGGAAAGCCCTTCCGCAGCAGTGAAAGCCCTGACATGGGCTTCACTGCACCACACCCGCAGAAAGTGAGCAGGGGAGGGCTCCTGCACTGCGCCACAGGCTCCTCTGTCTCGCTGCCCCCGGGTGCCTGATTCTCTCGCTGGGCATGGTCAGGGCCTGCTGGAGGGGAGTTGCCCTCCTCCAAAGGCCAGTGTTGAGCAAGTCAAGTGTCCTCGCCCACTCCCAACCCTCTCGTACACATCCACACACATACGTGCACACACAAGCACACTCTCCTCTCCTGTGAGAGAGCAAAGCTGGGACATCTTCCTCTTGGTGTGAAAATACCTTTCAGCGATAGAAACGATTGTGTCCAAGCACAGAGACCCTTAGGGCAACAACTGTATTGTTCTAGCTCTGCGCTGAACAGAAAAAAATCACACACAAAATTCCAGGGACCCATCCCCGGCGAGAAGCCCAGGCGTCCTGATGCCACGTGCCTGTGCCTTTGCCCTCCTGCCCTCCTGAAGCAGGGCTCCCTGTGCTATGGGCCCCGCTCCCGCAGGGAGTGTCCCTCTGGCTCTGCCTCTGGGAGTGGAATCGGACTTCAGCAGGGCCAGGGCACACATGTGTTCCTCATATGCCCCATCTCCAACAGCTGCAGGGAAGGCAGGCTCCACCCACCTGTCCGGTGAGGCAGCGGCCCGACCTCGTTTCCAGCTGCAGAGGCCCCAGATCCTTCTCAAGGTTTCCATCCCACAAGAAAACGGCCCCCAGAGGGTTCAGTGTCCCAGTGAGGAGAAGGAAGGGAGGGAGGAGGTTCTAGTCCACCAGCACCCCACCACCGTGCCTTCCTCCCCTGGCTGCAGGAGTCCCCTTTCCCCAAAGCACCCTGAGAAGAGCAGGCCTCCCTCTCCTTGGGAAATTAGTCCCCATTTTCCATCTCAGGGGGTTTGGTCCATGTCACCTGGGAGCACCTTGCTTCCTAGCACCTGAGGGGCCCAGAGTGTGCCCTGTGTTGCAGGTCCCTAGAAAAAGGCGAATCTTTCTTTTAGCCACAGCTTTTATTTCCCTTTCTTCCAAAGTGTGCCACCAAGGACAGAGCTGGTGTCCCCTGGAGCAGTTACCAGCAGAGTGGTACAAGTGACTGGCGAGGACTCCAGAGGCTGAGTGACTGCAGAACCACATGGGAGGAGAGGCGGGTGAGGAGTTGCCAAGGTCCAGAGGTGCCAGACGCTGCTCAGACCAACACACAGCACAGCCACTGTGTGAGAGGAGCCACATGAGCCCACGCCCCTGAGCACCCGGGCCACCCTCTTGCCCTCTGGCCTCATCAGGTCTCTGTCCTCCAGGAAGGGCCTGCTCAACTGTGGGCAGCAGAAGTCCTTAACCCACCGGTCACCTCCTGAGCCAGGGCCCCAAGGAAACATGGCTTACAGAGAGCTCTGGGCCCCAGAACCCCAAGAACGTGGCACTGTCCCAACCTACCACGGACTGAAAATATCCAGAGATACTGTCTCTGCGTGGAACACAACACACCTTTCTCCTTGTCATTACTCCCTAACTACATAGGGTCACAACTGTGTGTGCACATAGCCCAGGTATAGTGTGACAGATGTTCTAGGTGACCCAAGTCTGCAGGTGGACTGGCCCGGCAGGCTCTGTCCTCCTGTGTCATGCTCTGGAAGGGCCCTGGCCACTGCGGGTGTCTGTGGAGGTCCCAGGCAAGGTCCCACATCCTGAGGGACGCCTGCACCTGCTGCATGCTCTTTGATGCCCTGGTCTGTGAGCCCTGTCCTGTGTGTACATTTGGACACCGCCTGCTGTGTCTCCAGGCCCCAGGGACATACACATGGCTCCAGGTGCACACAGTTCCCGTGCCTCCCTAGGGCCCCACACTGCAGCCCTGCTGTGCTCAGATCCGCAGAATGGCTCATAGCCGGGCCTCACCCAGGTCAGCAGGCACATGTCCCTCTAGGGGAGACAGCATGGTGGGCCCCTCGTAACTGGTGCTGTGGCTCCTCTGCCCCAGCAGCAGGCCAAGGGCCAGTGCCACCTGCCTGGGCCCCAGGGACAGGTCCCCTCTGCCACGACAGCCTGTGCTGTGCCAGGCGGCAGCCACAGGTAGGGCCAGTGAAGTGGTCTGCACCAGGGCCATGCAGCTGCATGCAGGGAAGACACGTCCACCTCACATCTTCCTCCCTGACCTGCAGGCCAGGTCTTGGTTCCCCAGGTCCTTCCACACCTCGGCTGAGACATCTGGTCCCAGCACCCCATCTGCAGTCCCCTCCTGACTAACAAGTGTGACCCCCATGTGGTCTGAAATGTGTCTGTCACTTCATCTTCAAGATAATGATAACAATAATCAGAGCCTCCTGCTACCTGTCACTGAACAGGTGTGGCATTCCTGTGGGAGATCCTGCCACTTGGCACCCACACCCAAGGCCTCACGCTCCCAACCGGCAGCCACTGACCTCAGCCAGGGAGAGCTGGATGACCCCTGTCTGGTTCCAGTCCAAGAGCCCGAACAGCTCTGAAAGGCAGAGAGGAGAGGAATGAGGCCGGGCCACTCCCAGTGTGTGGAGCCCTTGGAGACCCATCCAGCCCTCAGACCCAGAGCCTGTCTCCCCATATCCCCAGGAACCCCCAAAATCTGGGTGTTGCCTGAGTATAGCCCCAGGTTAGAGCCCAGTTCGGGAGAAAGGGTCACATCTGGATCCGGTGCTCGGGCATCTTGGGCAGCTGACATCCCTCTGCCCAGTGGCCCAGCCCAGCTGTCCACAGAAATCGTCCCTGTGGCATTGGCACCCTCAGAGGCCGCTGGCAGAATCCTGCCTTTGCAAACAAGGGCGCGGGTGGTGAGGGGTCCCTTTCTTTTCCCCGGGAAGGAAGAGCCTCCCTAATGAGACACTGCCTGTAGGACATCAGGCCAACGACCCACACATTCCCACATGGCCCACCAGGGCCCTCCCTGGGTGGGTGTAGCCTCTCAGGGCTCCTTGAGAGTTATAAATGAGACAGTCTTGTGTGGTCTCTAGCCTGTCCACCCTGGGGTCTACCCTGAGTGGATGCTTGGGAATCCCAAGTAGCTTTAGGTCAAAGGTCCCAAGAAAGGCAGCTCCACCATGGGTCCCCAGGGCCTCCCCTGCCCCCAGGCCCAGCTAAAAGCCCTGATCCCTGCGCCCTGCCCTATGCTGTTGAGAGGACCCCAGGGACAGGAGGGACTGGGAAGGCATGGGAAGGGACAGCTGGAGGAGAGGGCACTCACTGAAGAGGGTCTCCAGGCGGACCACGCAGGCCACGAAGCTGTCAAAGTCGAGGCCAAGCGTGTGGCTGGAATACCGGGAGGCAATGGTCTGCTGTACCTCGTTGTTGAGGGTGAAACCTAGGGGTGAAACACTGGGGCCTCTATGTGGTACCCAGTCTACCCACATCCCAGCCAGCCGCCCCTGGGCCAGCCCAGCCTGGAAAGCAGAGGCCAGAGGGCTGCTTGTCTGCCTGTCAGCCCTGTACTCTGCCCAGGCTCTCTCCTGTCCTAGGTACTTGTCTCATTGCTGAGACAAAACACTTGGCACCAAAAGTTAAAGGGGGATGGACTTAATTAGCTCCCACTGGGTGGAGGTTCTAGCCCATAATTGCTGGCTCCAAGGCAGGTGGCTTGACAGAGGAGAAACAGCTCATGGCAGGCAGAAGACACCAAGAGCAAGCAAGCGCGGGGAGATGAGCCTCTCCTGGCCAGACCAAGGGAGCAGGGCAGTGCAAGCCATACACTCTACATCTAGCCACCTCAGAAAATGTCCCGCCGGCGACCACATGAGGCCTGGGGGGTGTCGAGACACAGCCGCGACACCTTCCCATGACAGGCTCCATGGAGGGAGGAGTCCTGGACCAGGCCATGTGGCCACCTTGATGCCCACACTCCCAGCAATGTCCCTAGTGTCACTCTCTGGAGACATCTACCGTAGTTGAGTGGGCGCCCAGGCTCCGAGACCACAGCCTGTCCTCACCCTCCTTCCTGAGGGCCGTCCTCATCTCATGGGCGCCCAGGGTCCCCAGGTGGTTGTGATTCGTTTCCTGGTAGATCTCCTGTGGCAGAGAGAGCTGCAGGTGGAGGATGTGGCCTGTACCTGGCCGCCAGAACCCTCCACATCTGACAGAGCCAGAAGGGACCTTGATGATGGTCCCGAAGGCTCAGGGACGGTTGACGAGCCTGGCCAGGCTGCCGGCTCCTCTGTCCTCTGAGCGGCCTCAGCAGCCCTCTTCCTCCCCTCCCTTTCCCCTCCCCAGACTCGGGCTCCAGGTTGGGCAGTTTGTCTGTGACTGAGATCTGCTCAGACCAGTCTGGCAGTGTCCTGGGGGTTAGCACTGAGGGACTAGGCAGAGCCAGGGGACAGCAGAAGCTGAGGAGAGTTACCAGATACTTCCAGATTTTCAGCCAGAGTGTCTGGAGCTCCGCAGGCCCCAGGGTGCCTGTTCCAGCGCTCTGCACATGTTAAAGGCTAACGCCACAGCACAGCCACCCCGCCCGCCGCAGCTGGGAGCTAGCCTTGGCCTCAAGGCTCTGGGAGGCTTGTGTAACCGCAGGCTCGCCTCCTCCAGCCGGGCACAGGCGGGAGCTGAGGGTGTCTCAGCCTGGAGGGCCCCCAGCTACGGCACCGCCTAGCCAACACGGTCAGCATGATCCTGGGTGGGCAGGGAGCCGTAAATTTCCTCTGGATTTATGTAAATTCCCTCTAGATTTATGTAAATTTCCTCTGGATTTACATAAATTCCCTCTGGACATAAAGCTCTGTGGTTAGGCCCTCAGATGAGTTTGCTGTGTCAGAATGTTACAGGACAAGAGGGCCAGGTTGGGGTCCTCGGCCTGACATCTGCTCACAGCCCAACCCCACACCCTGATGGGTAGGGGCACCCATGGGTCTTGCACCCCTGCTGGGCTCCTCCATGGCTGCCCACTGAGTGGGGCAGCACTGTGGGTCTGGTCTTGAGCTCTGCTGACCCTGTGAAGTGAAGCCTCTCTGAGCGCTGCCCTCTCCTCTCTCACCAGCCACAGCTAACCACAGGCCAGCAGGTCACAGCGCTGGTACAGACTGCTGTCACTCCCCTCCGTCAGCCTGACTGGAAGTCTGGTCTGCACAGGAGGGACGCTCGCCATCAGAGCCGGGTCTAATGCAGCCTCACAGCCCGGCCGAGACTGGGGATCATGGGCTGCCCCTTCCACGCTCTCCTTCACCCCCGAATCCCTGCAGGTGACCCCCCCCCCGCCCCAACTCTGGCGTCTGGAATTTTGTCTCAGTTGAGAAGGTAACCGAGGTGGTTCCCCTGCTTGTTTGCTGTCTCCCCACCATTCTTCCTGCTTGCAGAGAGCAGAGGACAGGGCCCCCGTGTTGGGAGGATACATCCACCAAGCTGACCATCTCCCGGCAGGTGTGGATGCTGAAGCCATGGAACTTTACGTCTGTTCCTAGACAGTTAAACAGACCATGAGGGAGTCAGGATTGCTGGGAGATGGGAAGGCTAACAACCTCCAGAGCTGGAGACCCCAGATGCTGCCAGCCTGGGGGCTGAGTGGCAGACAGTGCATGCAGGGTGTTGGGGTGGCCATCGGGCAGACACCCAGACACAGGACAATTGCCTTTCAGCCTCTGGACCCTGGGCCTCCCAAGCACACACCCGGCAGCCCTTCCTTCGCTTTGATTTTTCTCCTCCATGAAACAGGATGCCAGCAAGAGTCACGGGGATAGTGACAATCCTGGCCTCCAGAATGGCTGGGCAGGAAGTGAGTTGGGCTAAGACTGGGTCGGCCCCTCACTGGGCTGTGCTCTCTTCTCAATAAAGACCTGGCCTTGGGGCATGGGGCCTCCTCACCCTCACTCTGCCCTGCTACTCTGTCATCAACCCTGTTTGGTCCCTGTGGCTGTTTATACACAAGGACACTGAGGCCTATGGTCACACGCTTTGGCCAAGGTCATAGGGCCAGCAGTGCAAGACTAGGACACTAACCCAGGCCAGGGGCCCATGGCCTGTACTTTAGTCACAGCACACCCGCCCAGTGACAGCCTCCGTGGGCTAAATCCTCCTTCCCTGCCTTCTGACCCCCCTCCCAGGTGTCCAGTACTCCCCTCCTCCCGAGTCCTGCTGGAGCAGGGGTGGGGGAGCCATCCCCCAGCCAGCCAGAAGACTGAACCTGACTACTCCAGACCCCTTGGAAAGTGGACACACCAGCCCCTTCCACAGAGGCAGGGAGTACAATGGGACCCTTCCGCCAGCACCTGGGTTCTCAGGCACCTGGGGCTCACTGAGGACTGGAGACAAGAGGTGCTCTTGGAGGGCGGGGGCCAACTGCTCATCTGATCTCAAGCTGCAAGCACAGACGGAATCCCTCCCCTGGTCTCCAGTGCTGCCTGAACAGGTGTGCCCAGTTCCCCATCCTGGATTGGCACACCAGTGCCCCTACATCCCAGGCACCCCCAGGCCCCCACCTCCTGGCTCCACCTTGCTGAACAGGGTCTGCCTCTGGGTCAGAGGCCAAGCCCCCAACTTCCAGCCTTCTGCCTGCCCCCCAGGCTCTGTATCCCCCAGGTACCCACCGACTTTCTGAGGAGCCCGGCAAGGAACTTACTTCTGGAAAAGGCCCCATTCAGAACCTTCCTGAGCTCGATGGCACCAATCTCAGAATCCTAAAGCATGAAACCCAGGCATGCATCATGCCTGGCCCTAACACGCAAAGGTGCTCCATCCAGCCCCTGGGGTTTTCAAACCCGAAACCCTTGAAAACTTCAAGCTCCCCATTCCCTGCAGGGCCAGTTTCCACGAGAAAGGCTTCCTACAGGACCAGGATTCGCTTTTCTTTTTTCCAAAGTCTATCCACTCAGCCAGGTAGTAGACTGGGGACCGTGACCACTGATCCCAGCAGCACAGGATAGAGGCAGCCAGAGCATGCAAACTTGGCCTCTCCTGGCCCAGGAGAGGGATGCAGGGCCCTGCACCCACTCACCTGCCCCATGAGTGCCTCACACAGACTCCGGAGCTTCTGGTCTCTGTGGTCCAGCTCCAAGGGCTGTGGCTGTGGGCAGGGTAGCTGTGCAGTTAGCATACGCCAGACCTCAAGGGAGTGTCCACCCCAACCCATCAGGCCAGGGCGCCAGGGCCCAGGTAAGCAAGCAGAGAAAGGAGCCAGCCAGCCTGTGCCCTCTGCCACAGACCCAGCAAAGCACTCGAGGACAGTGACTTGCTGACCCTGCATACCACAGCCAAGGAAGAGCACGAGGAACTCAGAGAGGAGGGACAGAGTGGGGGGGGGGGACCTGTACCTCAAGCCCCACACAGTTCTCCACCCGAGTCCACACCAAGTTTCCCTCCTCCCCAGGACCTGGCCCAGGTCTGGGAAGGCTTCTGGAGACCAGGCCAGGCGGGGATGGACCTGACACATGACAGCCTGAAGCTGGGCCTGCCTCTGGGCTGGGGCTGCCTCGGTCCCACCTCCCCAGCAAGTGCCTGGGGCTCAAAATCGCACAGCCTCAGGTGTAACAGAATAAAAAGCTCCATCCTCCCTCCATATGCAAAGACAAAGACAGCAGCAGGACCAGGTCTGAGCTTGATGAGAAACCACTAATTCGTACCTCATGGGGGTTTCCCGCCAGGACGGCCCCAATCTCCCTGAAACAGAGGAGGAGATGAGCCAGGCAGGCGAAGGTACAGGGCGTGAGACCCACAGGTCCTGCCGACAGCAGCATCTATAGATATCTTAACCAGGGTCCTCCCACTGCTGCTCCCCACCTGCAGAAAGCAGGCTCCAGGGGTGGGGTGGGGGTGGCCCGGCCAGCTCTGTTTGGGGCTGGTGCTGGTGCTGGGAGCCAACCCAGGGCCTTCATGCTGAGCTACATCTCCAGTCCTCTTTATTTTTTATTTGAGGAGGGGCTCACTAAGGTGCCAAGCTCTCAGGCTGGGCTTGAACCTGCGATCCTCCCTCTTTGTGCACCGTGCGTATGGTATGAGGGGGTGTTTCATGGTCTGTGACTGTGTGGGTGCTGTGTGTATGCTGTGCACAGTGGGTAGGGTATGTGCTGTGTGCTGTGCTTGCCGTGTGCAGGGTAGTGTGTGCAGGGTGTGCTGTGTTCCATGCATAGGAATGTGCAAGGTGTATGCTGTGGGGTGCATGGTGTGTGACACCAGTGTGTATGTGACATGAGTTGTGTGTGACACTGGTGTGTGATGTGAGTTGTGTGTGGTATATGCATGCCATGTGCTGTGTGGCATGTGTGTGGTGTGTGACACTGATATGTGACGTGAGTTGTGTGAGATGTGTGCCTGCCACGTGCTGTGTGCTACATGGAGTTCTTGGGCACAATCCAGCCCCCCACTCCCAAGGGATGCCTCACCCTCTTCCCCAAGGAATCACCCAGTGTCCTGTAGTGCAAAGGGGCTGGTTGGGGACACCTGGAAGGCCCAGGCCCGTGTCCCTGATGCACCTACCCTGGAGACAGCAGAGTGGGTCCCTGGCTGGGACGGCCCCGCACCTATACCCAGCCCACCACCACCAAGAGAGACCAGACACACGGGGCCCGGGCCTTAACCCTAACCCTAACCCTAACCCTAACCCTAGCACACACAGGCAGAAGTCACCGTCCTTGAAGGGCTCAAAGGCGGACAGCACCATCAGGTACTCGCCAGGCGGCAGCCGCATGCGACCCCACACCTCCCACAGGTTGACATAGGTGCCTGAGCATGCAGCCGGCTGGTGGCCCTGGAAGAAGTCTCTGCCCAGGTACGTGTCTGTGTGGCTCGCCAGCTGCAAAAACAAGCAGTCAGCTCCTCCTTCAGCCCGGGGACATGAGGCCAGGGCCCAAGCCCCCACAGGCCCACACATGACTGAGCTTCACTGTGCTGAGAACTGGGAGACTGTGGGCCCTGTGCAGACTCCCTGTGTGCCCAGGTCACCGCCCTCAGGCGCTGACCTTGGCCGACCTTGCTGTGCACCTTGATGGACCTCTGAGCCCCGATGGCTCAGAGGGGCTGAGCAGTGGGTACAGTCTCCAGTGGGTGCAGCTCCTGGGTGATCCCTCCAAATCCCCACAGACAGTGCTGTTTCCAGCTGTGACTCCCAGAGCCCACTGAAGCTGGAGTGGACCACTTCAGGCCTGGGCCTCGCAAAAGCCATCAGGAGGACCTCTATCCTTCAGTGTCCCAGCAGCTGCAGGTGGATGAGGCGAGGGCAGTGAGCTCAGAAGGGGGTGGCCAGGGAGGCCCAGAGAGGGAGGATGCTGCCCGATACCCACCCTGTGCAGTAGAGAAGCCACTGCTCAGCGGCCTGGGCTAACTAGAGACATGGGAGTGTGTGCAGACATGGGGTGCCCATCCCTGCGCTAACAAGCCCTCCCCTGGGCTCCTGACGCTGGACAGCCATAAGCCCTGTGTGACCCAGCCCGAATGCCACCCAGCCCCTGGGGCACAGGCCTGCTGGACAGGAGCAGAGCAGGCTCCCACCCCTTGCTTGGCCGGACTCCATGGAAACCCAAGTGGCCGGGAAAGACCTTACACCCTGGGGGATCTGCGTGACCAAGGGGGCCAAGTGTCACGGGACACTGGTGACAGCCAGGCGGGGCTGGTCCTCCTTAGCAGCCCTGCATGGGCAAGGACTCCGGTCTCTGGCCCACATCTGGGAGGGGGAGCAGCAAGTCATCAGGGCAACTCTTGAAGTGTGGGGAGGGGAATAAGTACTTGGGGCCCCAGTGGGTGCTGGGAAGCATGAGCAGCAACCTGGGCTCCAGCAGTTTTGGGAATCTGAGCTGGACCCAAGACCATGGTCCACTGCTGAGGCACAGGGACCCGAGCTGGGAGTGACTCAGCTGCTTTCATGGTTTCCGGCAGAGATGGTTCCCCAGCCTCATCACTCAGTAATAAATACCACATCTGACCCACAGGTCGAGGGAGGCTGAGCCAGGGCAGATCCACGGCTACCCAACAGTAGGCCTCCCTCGACTGGAAAGCATTGTCAGCTGTGGCTGCTCAGGAAGGAGTCACCTGGGTCATTTTTAAATCTCAGCTCCCAGTGCCCCAGATTCTCATATCTGAGCAGAGATTCGGCCTGCAGGTATGGGCAGCGCTAAAGCCTGCCCCAGTCTCAGCCAAGCAGATGAAGAGTTACTAGTCCACAGCCTGGGCTTTCACCTCCACCAGTGCAGTAGCTGGTGAGGCCCCAGACAACCTCAGAAAACTCAAGCCTGGGTAGGACAAGGCACCGTGAATCCCTAGGAGCCAGGAAGACATGGTGGGTGCTGCCCCTCCTGCCCAAGGTCTGAGCACTTGTTTCCAGGGCCATATGGTAGGGATCAGGGTGCCAGCAGCCCTCTGCCCTGACCAGAGCCCAGACACCAGAGGCTGAGATCACCACTGCCCCAGACTGTGGGACCAGTGAGGCTGGCTCAGGGTCACCCGTGCAAGGAGCCAGTGCACAGGGTCAGCCCCATCCTGGGCTGTCTTACCGTGGGAGGTCCCCTCAGCCACGTAGCACTCACATACCTCCTTGGGGACCTGCAGGGAAGAAGACAAGAGCAAGTCCCCTGAGTAAGGACCCCAGGCCACACTCCCAGACCACCTGCACACACACCTGGCAGTGCTCAGAAGCCAGGCATCTTCAGAGTCCTGGAAACTGGGGCAGAGAGAAGGGTCTGCTCTTTACCTTGTTTGCCAACTCCAGATACTATCTACACCCTGGGTACGCCTGCAAAGAGCAGTGACCTTGGCGCTTAGGGGAAGGCAGTGGTCTCCACGGACTCGGCAGCAGGACACAACCAGAGCAGCGGTCTTACCCTTTGTAGGCCTGTGGCCCTGGTTGAGTGGTCCCTGCCCAGACCAGCCCCACACTGGGCCAGCCAGAGATTCCTCTTGGATTTCACACTGGAACAGGGCATGGGCCCTATCTGGATGCTGGTGGTGGGGTGGACCTGGCCCAGGTCCCTGGCCAGGCTGGAAGGTGACTCAGGTCCCACTGTCCCTTCCTGCTTTTGCCCTGCTGCAAGGCTGTCTGGACCAGAGGCCCAGGTCCAAAGCAACTGCCCATAGCCTGCAAAAACACAAAGCCAGGAACCAGGCCGGCGGCGTTTCCATCCCAACCCTACTGCCATCACTGCAGACAGAGACCCTTCCAGGGCCACTGTCACCCCACTGACTCTGAGTTTAAGCCAGCACCTCCCACACGGAGCCCCAGCTGTCCGGGAAGGCCGAGGCCGGGATCTTCCCTCTGCTCTGATCGGACAGCCTTTTCAGGCGCAGCAGGCCCTTCCAGGCCGCTCCTCCCTCAGCAGCTCCACCACTGCAGGGCTCTGCACAGAGGGCTCCCCAGCACCAGGGGCCCCCTGCTGCTGCGGGTGAGGGGTTTCCACCTCATACTACCCTGGGCCTCAGACTGCTGAGATCAGGGAGGCAACCTGGGGGTGAGGCTGTAGAGCCCTTAGAGCCCTTGCTGCTCCTGACACCCCAGATACCATCTACACCCCAGATACTCCTTATGTACCATATTCCCCACAGCCCAATACTCCATACACCCCAATACTCCCTACACCCCAACACTCCCTACACCCAGATACTCACAACACCCCAGATACTCCCTACACTACAGATACTCCCTAAAACCCAGATACTCCCTACACCGTAGATACTCCCTATACCACAGATACTCACTATACCCCAGATACTTCCTACACCCCAATACCCCCTATACCACAGATACTCACAGCACCCCAGGTACTCCCCATTGTTTTAGGTGTTCCCTACGCTCCCCACCTCCACCTGAGCTTCTTATTTATTTATGTTCTGTTTGATTTTGTTGTGAGACAGGGTCTCACTGTGTACCCCAGGCTGGCCTTGAATATGTAGTAATCCTCATCAGCTTCATGAGTGCTGGGATTTCAGGAGTTAGCCACCATGCCCAGCTTCCACCTGACTTGAAACCTTCTGTTCCCAGATATCACACCCCAAACCCTAGCTTCCTGACCACAGGAGGACCCCAGATTACAGACACTGCATATGTCACAGGCAGTGATACCTTGGTATCTGGAAGCCTCCTGTGTTCTTCTCAGAGTGCGCACCATGCCCCACACAGCTATCTTGAAAAACCTCTGCTCTGGACTGGCCATGTCTGAGGATGAGACTGCAGGCTCCTGCTGTCCCCGAGCAGCCACTACTCCCACCACTACTGCCCACCGTCCTCTCTCCATAGTCGCTGCCCCCTGGGGGCTGACTGCCTACCCATCCCCACCTCTGCAGCCCCCTCAACTTTCAAAGTCCTGATCCATCTCCTTCCCATGAAGCTGAGCCCCCAGCCTAGCTCACGGCCGGGCACGGCCGTGGGATGGGCCCTGTGCCTGCCGAGTGAGCCTCGGGCTCCCAGGGTAGATGGTGAGCACCCCGAGGGCTACAGCTGGCCACTGTGCCCCCTGCTTCCACTCTTCCTGGCACCTGGCAGAGGCTGCAGGCCTGCACACAGGGCTCCTCAGCTTTGGTCCCCAGCAGCCCCTTGGGCGCTGACCACACCACAGTGGGGGACGGGGGGCTGGAGAGACCTGTGATTGGAATGCATGGTTTATTTACAGAGGTGCCACCCCTCCCACCCCGCAGCTCCAGAAGGTGACAGCGGACAGCAGGGTAGCAAGAGCCTGCTGACTGCTCTTGTCCTCCTGGCTTCCTGGGCTTCCTGCCACGACGCCCTGTACAGACATTAATTTATGCTGAGATGCTGGGCCTGTGGCCAGCTCTTTGTCTCCTGATAAGAACTATATTTTCCCCAGAAATTCATTTTTAACAAAATTGTAGATAAAGCAGCCACTGGAAAGCACTCTGGAATTTGTTATAAGGAGTCTCTTCTGTCTAGATGAGTGCATTCTGGTTTGCTATCAAGCCCTAAAAAGTCTTTTTTCTTCATCTGAGATGGAACCAGTCCAGGGTCTTTGCCCTGAGCTGCCCTCCAGGCCTTTCTTATTGTTGAGTCAGGGTCTCCTAAATCAGGCCAGGCGCACATTCGCAATCCTCACGTTTCAGCCTCCCAGTGATCTGGATTAAACAAATCTGGGAGGGGTGGGTAATAAGAAAATCTGGGGACTTTAACGTGGATGCAGCCTGAGGCCAGACCCACTTATCTCTCAGCTCAGAGCCAAGAGTGGCTGTGAGGCTGTCCCACGACCCCAGTGTAGGTCCAAGGGGCTCTCCCTCCACTCTGCAGCACCCTGTAGGCAGTCCCATCCTCAAGCCACCGCTGGGCCCTCGGACTCAGCTGCAGGATGAGTCTCTAACTGGGATCCAGCTGGGCCTGGAGGGCCACTGGGAGTGTGCAGCAGGGTAGGCAGCACAGACACCTGCATACCTGGTAGACGGCAAAGCCGATGCTCAGCAGGCCCTGGCACAGCCGCCGCCGGTCCTTCTACATCAGCCCCAGCAGCACGGCGCAGCAAGACTCGGCTGCACGTTCCTCCTGGTCCTCGTCCGCCTCGTCCAGGTGGAGTTTGAACTGGGGATTGGTCCAGTACGTGGCTGGAGTCCCCCAGGGCATGGTGGACCCCGTGGGGATGGGGAGAGGAGGAAGGATGGAATAAGAAATAAAACCAAATAGAAGCTTGATCACTCAAGGAATGCAAACCTCTGGCCCGTGTGCCCTCCCCCACCTGGTGGCTGGGTCCACCAGGAATCCAGACCCTGCTCGGCTGGGGCATGTGCACCCTCTTAATCCTAGCACTTCCCTGCTGCTCTGGGAAGCAGCCTCTGGTCTCCCCAGTGAGGCAGAGTCATTGCCGTCTCTTCATTCTTGGCTCCTGGACAAAGGGAGGTTGCCAAGAAAGGCTTGTCCCTGGGACAGAGAGACACAAAGTCCCGCAGAGTGCAGCTGCAGTGCCTCTGCCCCAGGTGAAGCCAGCCAGCTCCATGGCTCTCCTCTGCAGAAGCCTCACGGGCCATGGCCTGCAGAGCCCCTAGAATGAATCCTGTGTCATCTGCCCCAGTGAGCCCCCACCCTCAAGACCTGGCACCTCAGGGGCCAAGGAACCTCGCCTGCCAAGCATTCCTGCCACCCGGCCTGCGGGTACGCTTGCCTTTGCTTCAGAGACAACTTTTAAAATCATCTCTCGGACATAGGGGTCACTGGCCAAACATAGAGGAGTCTGAAGGACACCCAAGGTCACACAGCAGCTCTGTGGCCCACTCCAGCATCAGAACTGGATAAGACAAGCGGCAGCAACTCCAGGAACACCTGTCCGGGACAGGAGGCCTGGGGTGCGTGGTTTTATTTTGCTCTGTGTTTGTAAGGGAGCAGGGCTTTGCGTCCTCCAGATGCCTCCAGCGGCATTCATGGGGACAGGAGCCCTGCTGTCCCTGTCCCCCACGGCGGAGCTGTTATTCAGTTCTACTGTCCCAGAGCCTCTGCTTCTAGGTGGTTTATTCAGGCACAAGGGTACAGATTTTAAGCGGATTCCAGGGAGACAGAAGTTGGGTGACTTCTGCTCCTGCTCCGTCCAGAGGGGCGAGAACCCTCCACCACTCCCTGATGCTGAGGACAGCCGTGGCCCGGTGTGTGTGTGTGTGTGTGTGTGTACACTTCCTGCGTGCTTCTAAGAACCCATGACGGTGAGAAGTTTAATTTCTGCCAAAGACAACCTGCTACAATCCCTATGTGTTCTGTTGACTCCTTGACAGTACCAGAGGACAAGCACAGCTGTAAAAATAATTCCCCCAACTGAGGAACGCCGGGGTCTCCCCAGGCCCCCACTCACTCCATGGCACCCAGCATGGGAAGGTGGAAAAGTGGGATTATCTCGTTTCAGGATCCGGAAAGGAAGCTGGGAAAGGAGATGCTCCCCACCCCAGACTCTCAGGGCTGTCAGGCTAAGCAAGAAAGGACTCCTTCCTGCATCCCTGAACTCTGGGGTCTGCAGCCAGAAGTAGCTCCAGCTGGGTGGGGGTAGAAAAGGGGCCTGGTCCAGCCTCAGGCCCATAACCATGTGGGGCCCAGGGAGGACCCCACAGCACAGGGCCCCAAAGTAGAAGAAAATCCCAGCCACACTATCTGGACACCAAGTCAATCAACACAGTAACGTAGACGGAGCAGCACCGGGTAGAGAAGCATGGAGAGATCAGGGTTCGCTGTCCTCGTGTCTCCAAGATGTGGGATCGTTTTCAGGGTCCCTCACCAGGAGCTGCCTCGAGGAGCCACCTAGGAGGAGCCTGTCCACGCACAGGTTAGCAATCTAGCACAGGAAGGCCGCCCTCCCAAGTGAGCCGGCAACCCGGGGTCAGCACAGAGGCAGCAGCCAGCTCCCAACACCCCCACCAGGGAGGGGTGACCACACTCATGTCCAGGGTGGCCAGGCGGTCCCTGCCCCCATCTCTGACTCAGAAGCAGACAAAGCACAGCACCGCTGGTGGAGCTCAGCTGGGTTGGAGAGAGCAAGCCTTAATGCGGGAGCCAGGAAGAAGCGGGTCCTTTGTGGCCAGGGAGGGCGCAGAAGCAGTGATTGAAACCCACATCAGGCCCCAGGTGAGGGTGGCATGGGGGCAGGGTCCAGCGCCCCAAAAACACGCCAGCGCCATCACCCTGAGGTCACAGCACGATCTAGCACCCCCGAGGACACGCCAGGGCCGTCGCCTCACCTGGGAAGTTCTGGCTGCCGCCAGCAGTGGCACCCCGTGCCCAGCGGCCATGGAACAGCACCAGGCTCCACTTGTGAGCTTCCTCGCTGCTCAACGAGTCTGGGGACAGGTTGCAGATCTCCAGGCGCGAGAACTGTGCCAGGAAGTCGGAGAAGGACATCCTGACAGTGAGAGAAACTGAGGCTGAGGGACAGACGTACTGCCCCTGCCTTGGGAGAGGCAGGAGGGCAGGGGACCCGGTCACTCGAGGGCTGAGGTCTCACCATCCTGTTGCCCTCTAGGAAGACCGGAGATCCCATCCACCTCGAACAGGCCCACCAGGAGGGCGCCCACGCTCACCAGAACTCGCCATCCTCTGCCTTCCTGTCCAGCTCCTCCCTGCGCCGGGGGTCAATGCGGTTCCACTCTGGGGCACTGGGGGGAAGTGGCAGAGTTGGGGTGGGTGGGAGCTCTGCTACAGTTGCCAGACCAGGTCCGTGGGTAGGGGCTGGGGATGGGGTGGGGCTGGAGCCCCAACCATGGAGAGCGGGATGCAGACCAGGGTCCAGTCCCATGGTGGCCAGCACCTGTGCTGTGGGCCTTGGAGCTGCACTGGGCTTGAGGACAGGTCCACCCCTGAGCCTGCAGGAGGGCTGTGGGCCTGGCTTTTGGCACCTTCCCTGCAGGGACGTCACCCTGCTTGGCATCCTGGTGTCCTCACCTTACATGTCCCCTCCCAGCACTGGGGTTTCCTGAAGCCCAGCTGTGTCTACACCTGTCTCTAAGTGGGGATCCCTGCGGAAGTTGACTAGCACCATGTGAGCCCCTCCTCTGCATGGCAGGGGGAGGGGGCAGCCGCTCTCCCCCACAGCCCAACTCCCAGGTCCCAGGGAACCAGAGAGTCCTGGAGGCTTTTTAAATTTTCTGGTGCTGGAATTGAACCCAAGGCCTTCACACTGAGCTACATTCCCAGCTCTTTCCCATTCCCAGCATCTCACTAAGTTGCTAACCTGCCTGGACTATTCTGGAACTTGAGATCCCCCTGCCTCAGCCTCTCTCAGTGCTGGGATTACAGATGTGCACCACTATATCTAGCTCTCAGGACTTCTTCAACTCGTTGTCATAAGATCTAATTTCAGGATGTGCTTGTTATAAACAAAGATTAGGAGGAGGCCTGTCAGAATTCCAGACCCAACTTGGCTTTTTCAAATTTAAAGATAAAACAGTAAAATCTAGATTGACATCAGGCCAAGCTATGGGGTCCCCTCAGGGTCCCAGGGCTCACTGGTGACTTGGTGCTGGTGTGGAGGTACCTAGCTCAGCTCCAAGGTGTGGGCCAGATAGAAGCCAGGCTTTGTCTGCAGCACAGAGACTTCGTGCAGGGCAGAGCCATCCGGGCCTCCGCCCTCAGAACCAGCCCCGTGTGAGACCCAGCAGCTCCAGACAAGCCCCAAACCTCTCTGCCCCCAGGGCCTGGGCTCCCTGTCAGGGCACAACTCAGTTCCCTCCCAGCGCACAGGTCCGGCTTGGAGGGAGGGACTCGGTGGTGTTGTGGGGAGCAGCCTGGGGCTGGTGGACGCGGCCTTAGAGTCCCATAGGCGGTGTTAGGAACCAGGTGAGCCCTGCACACCTCACAGGACCCCACAGGGCTCCCAGGTTCCCCAAGCCCAGGGCAGAGGCCCAGAATCAAAGTTCTCAGCATGGAGGTTTCCTCCTTCTTTCCTGGCCCCGCACCGTGTGTGAGCTTCTCCCCACAGAGTGCCCTGTGGGCCAAGCCCACGGGACCTGGTTCCCTTCCTACCTGGTCAGTGTGTACTCAGGGACCTACTTGTCACTCCAGGCTCCTGTCCACTCCACCTCGCCCCACGGGTTCCGAAGGCGGATCAGCTGCTCTGGGTGGCCGAGGACCTCGACCTGCGGGCCACACACAGAGAGGCCTCTGAAGGTCGCACTGGGCTGGGCCCGGCCCTTCCCAGACCTGAGCAGCTCTGCTGTTGACTGGGCTCAGGTTCCTCTGTGCAATTCTTGACTGAGGTCGGCCCTGCTCTGCGTCCTGTTTTGTTTGTCTATTGATGGAGTACAGAGGCTGTCAACCCACAGTGGGTTTCCTCTCCAGTGACCAGGCATGGACTGAACCTGCAAGCCCCTCCCCAGCCTCTCCCGGGGCTCCTGGGGCATCTACACCTGCTGTGCGGCTCTGACCTTAGCATGAGGGACAGTGGCCCTGCAGCTCACGTGCCCCTGCCATGCACCACACAGCACCAGGCGCTGTACCTGGCAGGCCACAGGACACAGCCTCCCCATTCCATCTCCACACCATAGCTCAGAGCCCTGAGACTCAGAATGCAGCCTTGCCAGGTGACCCAGCCAGGAGTGGGGCAGGGTGGGCGCCCGGCACTGTTGGCCACAGTCCAACCTCCAGGAACTCGAGCTGGAGCCTGAGCACCGCTGAGGCCCTGTGGGGTCAAGAGAGCTAAGTGCCCTCTGCATGGGGTGGGTCAGCTCTGCAGGACGGGTTCTGATTCTGGGCTCGCTGGGGTCTGGGGAGCCGTTACAGGGGAGTCCAGTTGCTCGGCCTGCTGCCATCCCGGCCCAGGGCTCCTGAGCTAAACTCGAGTCTTTGCTTTGTAAGTTCCTCTGCTTTGGGGTCTCAGTGCAAGAGAAAAGGAGCCAAGACATGAGTGACCTTGTGCTTAGTGAACACTCAGGCCACGTGTGCCCACACGTGTGCACACACACACACCCGATGGTCTCTGGTCTGCTTGGTCTGCACTGTCTCGGCTCCCAGCTCCTCTCATGCCCAGCTCAGGGTTCACACTGCACATTCACCCACACCAATGGGGCACACTGGACTAGAGCAACACGCCTGTGACACAGACGTGAACGTGCAGTTAGCGTCTACCATGTCTCAAAAACCAAAGGACAGAGCCACATCGGCTACCAGGAAACCCGGCGCACGCTCATGTCTCAGTCGTAGCCCTGTGTTCAGCCAACCTTGTCCCAGCTGTGTGATCTGACTGTGTCTTTTCACTGTAGGGCCCTTATGTGCTTTCTGGGAACAGGCAGAATATAAGAAAAGTAATGGAAGCTGTAGCTTGCACTTGCCTGGCTAGAGGATATAGAAGCAAACGCGACCCACCCTGAAAGCAAGAGTAGGGGCTGCCCTTCTCCTCCTGGGGTTTCCCGGAGCTCCACCCCATCAACACCACACCCCTCTGGGGAAGTGAGAGACCACAGCTGGCCATCTCCACAGCCCCCCTGGCCGAATCCCCAGGGGACACCTGCATGAGGTCAGAGCCCCACACTGACACCCAGAGAGGCCAAGTAACCCAGCTCCAAGGGCAGTGTGGGCCCTGGCAATGGGCAGGAGCCACCTGCACCCCACCATGCAGCCAAAGAGAGATGAACCCCAGAACCCCCAACCACTTCAGAGCGACTGTGTGTCTTGCCCCCCTGGGGTACCCTGGATGGGTGACCCCAGCCGGTACCATCCCCACTCTCTTTTGGCTGGTCTTACCTCTTCTGCTCCAGTAACAGAGTACGCGTGGCTCTTGACCAGCTTGTGGCGGGTGATGGCTTCAGCTTCAGCCATGCTGGAGACCTGGGTCAAGAGCAATCACCAGGGTCATCACTTCCAGCCTCTTCGGGCCAGCCCTGCTGTGCCTCACAAGGGTACAGCCCAGGCGGCCTGTCCACACAGCCAGGCTCACTGTCTCCACCTGCTCCCTTGCCACTGGGCCAGCAGGCAGGGCTGCCTGGCCCCAGACCACAAAGCCCTCCTAGCCTATCCCCCTTGATCCTTCCCGCCACACTGGAGACACAGGGCAGTGTCCACTCACGTCAATGGAGCAGCCCAGCAGAGACCCTGAACGCAGCGCCTTCCGGATGAGGCGGTATAGATTAGCCGGTGGCTTCCGCAGGTCATAAAACTCCGAGATGCCACCTGTGAAGTCCTCGAACCCCTCCACAGGGGAGCCGCCAACCAGAGCCTCATAGGAGCCACTGAGCCTTTGGGAAAGGGAGCAGCAGCTCCTGCAGCCACCAGCAGCCCCGTGAGGGGACCACAGGGTATGGGGTGGTGAGGATACTGAGGTCTAGAGTGGGGACATGGGCAGTTTTGATGATGGGCAGCTACTTACACAGCTACTACACACTTTTCCAGGAATGGAGCCCAGATAGCCCCTGTCCAGCCACTATGTCACACAAGGCGAGGACACTGCTTCCAGAGCCAACCCAACCACTCAGGCTCTGGGATGGGCTCCAGGGGACAAGGGGACCTTGCTGAACCCAAGGGTTGTTTGCTGAGCCAGAGCAAGTCCTTGGCCTTGGGGAGTGATGAGGAGACCGGGGTACTTGGTGTCCAGGGTCATCCACTGTCTTCTTCCTCACCATGTTGTTAGAAACTCATGCTGTGCTGAGAATGTGCCCCAACCCCACGCGGACACAGCTGGGATTCTGGGCCCTTCTCGAGGCCCACTGCCCTCTGTTGCAGAGGGTGGCTTTTCTCTTCCCAACAGGCACAGGTACAGGAGGGACGGGTGACACTGATGTGGAGTCCCTGGGCGAGGGCACTCACTTGGCGTAGGCCTTCTCCAGCAGCGCGCTCCAGAACTCGCTGCCCTCGGCCGAGTGCAGGAACAGCAGCCGCCCATCCTTGGTGGGCAGCCTGTCATCCACCACCACCTCCACCCACTCGCCGTACTGCCAGAACTGCGGGTGGGAGGGCACATAGCTGTCACTTGGGGATGCAGAGGCTATAGGGCCTCTCCTGGGGACTGTGGCCAGTGGCCTGGTTCGGGCACAGGGTCTAGGCCTCATATATGGCAATGGCAGGTGCAATGTGACCCAGGAAGCCCCTGGACCGGCCCCTGAGCTGTGGACAGAGTACCTGCCCAGTGTCACCCAAAAGCATAGATCCTGGTTGAGGCCCATGGCTGGGGTGGGGTGGCAATGGGTGGAGGTTATGGGACAGCTCCTGGCGCAAGCATGCATCATGATCATAGGAGGATCACTCTGCAGGGCTGCTGGGCCTTGCTCAGCAGACGGGGGCCTCAGGTATAGAGAGTGGGGACCAAGGCCACGTGGGAGGCCCCACACCTGGAAGTGGAAGATGCCTGCGTAGTTCTCCTGGAAGCTCTGGTCCTTGGGCACCACACGGGACAGCAGCCTCTCGTTCAGGGTCAAGGACGCAATGGCCGCCAGGAGCCAGCAGTCTCCTATACAGGAAAGGCAGGGTGGTCAGGACCCTGACACGCCACAGGACCTCCAGGCTCTCTGACCGCCCCCGACCCCGGCACCCAGAGTCCACGCCTGCTCCATCTGTTCTCGCTGCTGCAAGCCCTGAGACTCAGCCATTTGCAAAGAACAGAAATGTGTCCCATGGCTCTGGAGGCCACAGGGTCAGGGATGGAGGCCCAGCAGAGCAGGGTGGGGCACAGCAGCATCTGCACCTAGTGTGCACTGTGGTTGCGTCCTTACCCATTGGAAGTGGAGGGCGGAAGTGCAGGGTGAGCTCTCTGAGCCCTTTTGCAAGGGTATTGATGCCTCTCACAAGGGTGAAGCCCTTCTTCCCCTCAGTGTGTCACCTGGCCTTGGACTCCAACATAGGCTTTGCAGGGCACTCATGTGTCATCTCACACCCATGTCACAGCCTCCCTCTGAGTCAGGCAGTACATTGTGCCCCAAGCCCTGGCCAGGGCCTTTCACCCCAAAGGGGAAACTGTCTGCCACCTCTACCCCACTGTCTCACACCTCCTAGGCTTCCACCAGTGGTGTCATTAAGGAACATGGCCTCACTCACATCAAGTGCAGTGAAATCAGCCCTTGGGCCTGGACACGGGCTAGAGAGACTTCCTCTGCCTCCCCCTGGTGGAGACCATGCCCAGGGACAGCATGGACGGGCCATGTGGGAAGCCTTCTGGCAGCTGGGTGTGTGGACTTGGGCAGCCAAATAAGGGCCAGGGCAGTCTTGGAAGGAGGGGCCTTCATCGGAATCAGAGGGGCAGGTGGGAGAGGACCAAAGCAAGAGACTCAGCAGCTGGCCCCTCTGGGTTCGGTGGAGACCACTTGGAGGAGAGGTCCTGCCTAAGTCATGCGTCTTTGAAGGACAAGCGGAAAGGGGACTCCAGAGCTGTTTGGGGTCAATTCCAGTCCTACTTCCCATGTGGGAAACACAGCCAGACCTGGGCGAACACCTGCCTGCCTTGAGACGCTGTGTGAATTCTGGAGGGGTTCCAGGCCTTTCGAGCAGTAATCATGACAACACCACCCAAAGGGAGTTCTTGCCACAGAGCTCCAGCGCAGCTAGGGACCCAGTGGGTACTCATTAATCACAGCCCCCATGGCAAGGAAGGCTGAGATGGAGAGAGCCCTGGCATGGATGCCAGCCTCCTCAGGGCAGGGTCCCAGGAAGTAGCACAGGGCAGACTGAGGCTGGGGGCTTGCGCATCCAAGGGGGCAGAAAGCGGCCCCCAGACTCAGCCTGGTGGAGAATCTGGGGAGCACAAGAGACCCCATTTGCCTGCCAGCTCCCAACCTCCCACAGGGCTCGGCGACACCCAAGCAGCCTGGGCCACCTGAACATGGCCTGCATCATCCTCCCGGGCTTCTCCTCCTGATGCCTGATCTTGGCCATGGGGCCACCAAACTGTAGGGGCTGGAAGCAAACTCTGGTGCCAGATCAGAGAAACTGAGGAAGGGCAAAGCGGGCAGGAGGACAGGGATGGGAGGCTGGTGTTGCAATTTGAAAGATTCGGGGAGTCAGGACTTAAGGCACGCGCTGGGCAGGGCACAGCTGCAGTCCATCCTCTGAAGAGCACCCGGCCTGCAGAAGCAGTGCCACGCCGAGAGCTGCCGTGCCTCCCCTCAGCGAGGAGAGGAGAAAGAGATGCCGCCGCTGACTGCTCATCTTAGTGCCGTGGGGAGTTCCACCCTGCAATAGCACTGTCTCTCAGAGCTCCGCCTCCCACGTGTTACCACAGCTGAGGTGTCCTTGTCTGCACCCCTCACAAGTGCCCAGTGCCTACCAGAACAGCCTTTTCCAACCCACTCAGCCTATGCACTGCATTAACACACATGCACACCCCAAGAGCAACCGAGCCTGCACTCCATTGGCAGCCTAGAAGTTTCCTGCTGCGGGAACTGGGACCAAGTGGCTTCCTGTGCACTGTGTCCAGGGGCAGTGGGGCAGGACATCTTGGCCTACCATGCCAGCCCTTGGGCCTGGACACGGGCCTGGCCTCCTGCAAGTCTCCTGTTCCTGCCCCCTCATCAGATGGCCGCCAAGCCCAGGAGCAGAGACAAAGTGAGGCATTTTTGAGCCAGGAGACAAATGCCAGCTCTCCGTGTCCCCTCGCCAAAGATGCCCTGGTCTTCCCATACTCGGCCCAGAGACACCTCACTCCAGCCCTGCGTGGCCTCTGGTGTCTCCAAGTCTCCTGCTGGCTCTAAGGTCATCATCACCTGCTCCCGAGAGCCACATGGCAACCACGCTGTGCAGGCTGGTCAGTGATCCAGGGACATGGAATGACCCATCGGAGTTCCGCCCTGATTTCCCTGATGTCTGGTCCTCTTAGAGTCAGTTTGTGTCGCCCTCAGTCCTGCCCACACCAGTCCTCCTGGGAAGCGTGCCCTACCTGAGTGGACCCCAGTGTCACCGTCACTGGCCCCCACTGGGTGGTGGCATCACCTCAGGAATCAGGATGGAAGATGAGAGACACAGCCCAGCCGTGAGACTCTCTATCCTTGGAGGGTAGAAATGATACCCATGTGTGGGTGCAGGCACTGTGCTCAGATTCCAGGAGCCTTCTCACCTCTCCCAGTCACCTGGCTCTGGGGCCCTCAGTTTTTCATCTATAAAATGGGTTTGTGCCTCTCAGCTATGGTACAGCAGCATTTGACACTGAGCAAAAAGGAGATTGATTTTCCCCAGGAGAAGCGCTTCACAGGAGATTTACACACACAGACCATGTGGCTCATCGGGCTCTGGCTGGTGACTGACAGCAGATGACACTATCCCTAGGACCACAATGCAGTGAAAAAGCCTCTGGCCAGAGACATGCAGGGCAAAGCCTCCCAGGGGTCCAACAGCACAGCACACAGCACTGCCTGATGACAGCGGGTGGCGGCTGCTGGGGTGAGTGCTCACCCAGCTCCTCCTACTAGAAAAGCCATCAAGTGCCAAGCCCTACGGTGTCAGGCACAGCAGCTCTGGCGCCCCCTCCTGCCCTTGGCATCTTCTGCCCAGCATCACCCCCCACTACGGCCACACTGGAGTCCACTGGAGTCCAGGCACCTCCCCTGCCCCAAATGTCCTCTCAGACCTTGCACTCCACACATTCCCCTTACACAATAAACCCCACCACAGTGAGGTTAGGGCAAGTGAAACGGGGCCGCATCCTGTCTCTGCCCATCACCCCTCCAGAGCCCCCACCCCACTAACATACTCTGCACAGGGACAGTGCACACTGTGCCCAGCAGAGGCCATGTAGTCCTGTCACCTCCTCAGGCCACACAGGCAGTGTGGGGCTGTATGAGGCCCCAGAAACCAACTCACTGCCCCTAGCCCCAGGCAAACACAGAGGCTATGAGGCCCCTCTGCATGGGAAGCCAAGGCAGGGGCCTTGTGCAGGACCATTCTGCATCTGGTCTCTCCTCCCCTGGCCATGCCGGTTGCCCCTGCCTTCTGGCCAGCCTTCCACAGGAGCATCCATTCCCGTGCAGCAGCCTCAGGAGCTGCTAGTTGCCGGGTTGTTATGAAGATAAACACAAGATAAGATGGATAACTGGCAGCCACCTTGAAAGCCCTCAGCAAACTTCCTCGTGATTAGCTATCACTGCTGGACACACAATTAACCCCAGCACCGGAGCACCCAGGTGAGTCAGCAAACAGGCTCCTGTCTCCACCTGTACAGAACAAACGCCAGCTAGGCGTGGCGGACACGCCCTGGAGCCCATTGCAATTTTGACCCCAGCTTGGGCAATTTAGCAACTTAGCCAGAACCTGTCTCAAAATAAAACAATAAAAAAGGGGACGTAGCTCTAGTGAAGATCCAGGGTTCAATCCTAGTACTGCAGAAAAAGAGAGAAGGGGCGAAAGGAAACGACAGCGAGAGTTGGAAGCTGCTGGCGTCTTCCCTGTGCCCCGGAGGTTGTCTTATGGAGCAGTGGGGGCTGGCACTCTGCTCCAGCTCAGCCCCCAGCCGGCCCACTGCCCACCCCTGTGTCCACAGCACTGGGATCTAGGCACTCGGGTCCGTGGACACGCTGGGCCCTGCTTCCTCGCTCCCATTCTGTGCTTTTGGCTTTATTCCCCAGCAGCTGCACAGCCCCACCCTCCTCAACACAGCCGCCAGGCTTCCTGTTCCCTAGCTCTGGCTGTAAGGACTTTGTCTCCCCCAAACAGCCACCGTCCGGGACTGTGATCGGGAAGCAGCAGAACGAAGCAAAATGACCAAGATAGAAAAGTATCCATGAGCCTGCAGTCAATGTCCTCCTCCACTGGACCCTGCATCCACCCTCTGCCTCCACCTGAGAGACAATGTAAACTGGCTGCTGGAATCCCCTCTGAATCAGCCCACCTGGACCTTGACCCCCTGGCACAGTCTGGTGGAAGCCCAGGAGCCCATCCTCACGGGCAGCCCATCAAAGTGCTTGCAGAGGAAGCATGTGCTGTTTCTTCCCCTCCAGCTCCAGCTCTGAGGATGCAGCATTTGTCTCTCCAAGAAGACCCCAAAACAGGCGTCAACCTGTGGAAAGAGATCCCCAATCTACAGCTCCCCACCTCGATCCTGGACTTCCTGGCCTTTGGAACCATAAGAGACTGGGCCCCTCTGTCCTCTGTAGTACCCAGTCTGCAAAGACCACCTTGTGACATAAGCAGACAAGAATAGTGACAGCCAATTGCAAGGCTTCATGAAGCCCACAGAAGGCACATGGGGACCCACTCCTCCACCTGACCTCAGAAAGCTGTGCTGGGTGGCAGTGGCACCTTGAGAAGAGGAGGAACATGGGCTCCTGCTTCCTCTCAGTCTCTTCCAAAGCTCGCTGTCCTCAGTGAGCTGGGTGTCTTGCAGTGCCCCCATTCTCCACCCTTGACCCCTCCTTGCCCTCAGCTGGGTGCCATCAGTGCAGCCCTGCCCCTCCTGGCCAGTTCCCCAAGGGCAAGCTCTTCCCAGACAGGAGACCTGGTTCACACAGCCTCTCCCACCTGGAGCCCTGTCCTCACCAGGACAGAGCTCCTCCATTCCACCTCCTCCTGGCCGCAGAAGGAATGAGGCAGATGTTTCACAGGATGCCAGCATTGTGCACGTTCTCCCTGGGTCTACCCCAGCTGAGCTTGAGTTCCTCCTCCCTCAAGCATCCCCCGCTCCCCTCCTGCAGCCTCCACCAAAATGCCATCATTCCAGGAGACACCAGAGCATCAGTTCTGGCATTACAGGTGTCCACAAACACTGGCAGGCCCCCAAAAATTTCAGCAGGTGGGTTAGGGGCTGGGGTTCACCCTAGAGAGAAAATTGTTGACCCAGTCTCAAAGACCAACACCAAGCCTCCCCAGCACTTTCCCAGGCGAGGGCACTGTGACTCATTTGTGGCAACTATAATTTTTGTGTCCTCAAAATAACCCTTCCCAGCTGCACTATGCATAATAAACCCAGGAGACACCCCACTTCTACCAGTCCCCCCCCCCACGCTTGCCAGGCAGACTTCTCTCAGTACCCATGGCAACCCAGGGACACCTCCCCCCACCTCATCCCCACACACACCTGAGGGCTGACTCAGCCAGGCCGCAGTGCATCACATCTGCTAAGGACAGCCCTAGGCCAGCGGTGCCCAAGAGTTAATGTGTGCCAAAGAAAGAGGACAGAGCAGGGAAGACTGAGGCCATCTTGGAACTGGGGAGCGTCTTGCTTTGCCTTCTAAGTGATCGGTGGAGAGAAGATGGGAGAAGAGAGCAAACTTCGCCACTGAGGGACTTAGAATTTGTATTTTCTCAGAATCACACACAAAGCCCTGCAAGGCTGAGCCTCTGCCGATTTCTGCTGTTGAGAAGAAATCACACTTGACAGGAAGGGGCTGCTCGGGGACTTCCTGCCCTTGCTCAGCCCCCAGCTTTAAATCAGAACTTTAATGCTGTTTGGAGGGAATTTTTCTTAGTAGATTACTGGACTGCAATTGGTTCACCAGAGGGGGAATTATTCAGTAAACCAATTTAGGGCTCTGTAGCCACCATCTCAGCACCACCTTGGAGGGCAAGTGACCTGCATGCTGATGGGCTTGATTATAACACTTGGAACAGAGAATAAGACTGAGCTCCAGGGGCTGAGTGGGAAGCAGGGAAAGTGAAAAGATGATACTGAATTTTGGTAATCTCCAGCCAAGGCCCAGCACTGTCTGTGCTGCAGATGCCAGGTTGATGTCCCCCAGAGGTGGTGCCCCAGCCTGCACTGGGGACCTAGAGGCCTCACGATGGACACAGGCGCCTCAAGCACAGCACACGTTAGACACAGGTGATAGGAACGGCTCCAATCTCATGCCACAAGGCAAGGGCAGTGGACTCAGCCAGGTCCAGGTTCTACAGGCTGGGGAGTCCAGGCACAGACATGAAAAAAGAGGGGGAGAGCAAGATTACTTGGGAGTGCCCGTGGGGCTCTGCTACGTCCACTGGGGTCAGGACTCTTCCCAGGACCAGATAGGTGGCAGCACGAGCCCAGGCAGATTGGACTGGAGGGTGGGCCAGCAGAGTGGGAGCTGGTCAGGGCGGCCACAGGCCCAGCATACACAGAACCCCTGAGTGCCCAGGAGTCCATCCTGTTCCACGAGCACAGCCCTCGTCTATGTGTGGCTCAAATGCTTGAATGGGGCAGCTCCACCTTAAAATCTGGATTTCTGGCCTCTCTGAAAGAACTGTGGAATCTGCTGAGATTTCCTCTGTGTGCTCCTCTGTGGGTGTTTAGCAGGTCCCTACACTATGCCCAGGGGGACACTGGGCCCTGAGGGTGTGACCAGGAAAGGAAGAGTCCCAGATGTCAAGGGGCACACCTCCTGAGGAAGACAAACACAGTAAAGGCACAGCAGGGTGGAGTGAACGCCAGAAAGCAGTGAGCAGTGGCTCAGCAGGACAGCTGGCAGCCCTGGCCACTGGCCGGGCCAGGGAAGGGGAAGCTGTGACCCAGAGACCTGCACAGTACATCGAGGCAGGGCAGCCTCAGGCTCCCCGTGTGACAGAAGCTGGGCTGGGGCCAGAGCGTCAGGCACTAGGACTTGGCATGGCACTAGCCACAGAGGCCAGCACAAGACCAAGATGTTGGGGAAAGTCCAGACCATACAGCCATCCTAGGTCCCAGAGAGGGCACAAAGCGGTCTGGAAGCAGGCAGGACCAGTGGAGGACCCCAGGGAGTAGCTTGAGTCCTAGGCCTCTGGTGTGACCTCAAAAGGTGACCTTGGGCAGAGGGAGCTATGAGAAAGGACTGTGCCTTGGGCTGCTGGATGGGACATGCGGTGGCATGTGGCCACCAGAAATAGCACAGACGGCACAAAGTAGGCAACAGGGGCTGACAGTGCGGGAGATGGCACTGGCGAGAGAAGTACTGTGGGGGCCAGGGCATGGCACTTCCCATCCGGATTATTTCTGGAGGTCTGCAGACACTGCTCTGCCCTTTGGATGCCAATGGCGGCCAGCCTGCTGGGGGCTGAAGTGTACTGTAGGAGTGAGTGGCTCCGGAAAATGCCAGGGCTGCCCCTACACTGGCCACTCCAACTCCTCCTGGTCAGCGAGGTCCCAGAGCCGGGCCATCCTGAAGGCCCACCATCTTCAGGAGGCCCCAGTCTCCCTTTAAATGGGCCTGGCACTGGCCTGATGGCTGGATGGGCGCAGTGCACCCTGTACGGCCGTGATGAGGCAGCCTTGGCCCCAGAGGACTCCTCAAGGCTCAGCTGCAGGAGGGAAGTCCATGGCCTGGCGTGGAGGCTCCTTCAGCGAAGCCTGTGGCCATGTCTAGCTGATGATCCAAGGCCCAGCAGCACAGACAGCATCCTAGGGAAGAGCTCTCTTCCCGTGAGCCAGAAGCTTGATCCCAACAGGACAATTTAATCAGAGGCTGTTGGCTCATTGCTTCTGGGGAGACAAACTGCAATGTACCTACAGGGCCTGAGGTCCCCAAAGCAGCTCTGTGCTGCGGTAGAATTCCCAGCACTCGGCCTTCCCAAAGTGTATTTTCTGACTCCAAGGAAAGCTGGCTGCTGGGCTCCATGTGGTTACGCATCCAGATAGGGGACGGAAGCTCAGCAGGGACAGCAGAGGTAGGTGCTCTAGATGCTGTGCCTGCCCAAGTGGCCAACAGCCTCACACATGAGACCCAGGGGCTTTGTGCAGAGAAACCTGAGCCCAAGGATCTGTCCACACAGGTGGTACCACGCGGTTCCAAACCCAGGCCTTTGTAGACTCGGATGGAAGGGTCTCTGGGTGCCTTTCTTAGGTGACATAATAGCAAATAGCAGCTGAGTACCAAGCAGTGTTCACCACGCGCTGCCCTCAGCTAAGACGGGGATTGCTGGCTTTGCATCGCGAAGCCAGCGGGGAAAGAGCTTCCTGCAGGCTGGGCGGTGGGACAGAACACATTCTCGCTACACACATTCTGTTTCAATGTTTGAACCACGCGTACTCCAAATCATGAAACAGAGCCCGTGAAACAGGTACCTTCTTAATTACTTAGCACAATTCTTAAAAATCACACAAGGTTTTTAAAAACCTGTCCTCAGCAGCCCCTCTGCCCTGCCCCGGGCTCTGAAGGCTGGCAGGGCAATCAGCAGACGTCAATGCTGCAGCTTCTCAGAACACCGAGTTCAGGAACTCACCTTTGGCACATGTGCTGGGCCACCTGCTCTGACCTCTGGCCGGGCCCCTGGGCGGAGCTGTGACTGGAGCAGAAATGCCCAGTTCCACCCCGTGCCCACCAGTGTGGGGCTGAGCGGTCCCAGAGCCCACAACTCCATTTCCCATCTCCCCATTCTGCACATGATCCCCATGGCAACGCACGGGCCCTCCTTGGAAACCCAAAAATCTTCCCAACACTGCCCAAAGGACACAGCATCCTTGCCAGCCAACCAAGGAAAAGGCTGGGGACAGAACCTGTGGGAAGTCACAGCCCCTCAGTCTGGGGAGAGCACCTCCTGCACTCAGTGTGCACCAGCACAGGGCTCGCCACGCAGAGGAGGCCAGGACCCCTGCGGAGTCCCGCCAGCTGTGGCTGGGGCCAAGCCGGAATCCCTGAATCCCTCGCATAACTTCAGCAGAGCCACCCTCCAGTGGAGGGGGTTTGTGTGCTCCTTGGAGGAGAGAATAAATCAAACACCCTGCGATTTTCAAGATCATAACAGCTTCAAATATCTGAAGAAAGGTTCTCCCAGCTGGAACGGGGGGTTGGGGGGGCATTCTAGAGAACAGCTGGTCCCGGCCCTGGCGTGGGAGTGGGGGTCTGGGCCGAGTTTCTCCACGCTGGGTGTGTTTCTGCTCCCACTTCACCTCCATCTCCAGCTTTGTACTTTGCAGTCTTGCTGGATGGTTTCAGTTCAGGGCTGTGCTGTCTAAGGCTGCCAGCCTGTGAGGCTTGGGTCGAAGGCCTCAGGAGCAAAGCTAACCTGTCCCATGGAAAGCCGCCTTTCCCACCACGGAGGTGGAACCCAGAGCAAAGACTCCGGCATCCCTCAGCTGCACTAGAAAGGGGTGTGAGCAGCTGGGAAATGAAGGCCCTTGCCTGGGCCCCTAAACAGAGGCTCTGATTCAGGGACCCACAGCCCACGGGAAAACGGCCAGAGAGATGAGGTGCTTGCTGGCTGCCAACTTCGAAGGACACCATGACGGCTGCAGCCCACCTGCTGCCCACACCCTGGGATCCCCGCACTCACCCAGGTCGCCCTGCTGGACGTCTGTTCGTGAGGTTCCATCAAGGATGAACTTCGGGCTGGGACACAGCTCCTGAAAAGCGATAGGGACAAGGTGACGTCTCCAGAGTGGACAGCAGAGCCAGACCCAGAGGCTGCATTGCAGGTAGGCCACAGGCCTCGCTGCACTGCTGAGGACTCTGAGCCCAGGCTCATGAGGAAGCTGCCTGGAGTCGCCTGGCAGAGCCCAGGAGCAGGACAAGCCCAGGACGCCCCCCGACACGTGACCCAGCTTCTGTCACACTGGGTGTGGGAACGAGGGTAGACAGGTAGGAGACAGCACAGGCCGAGTCACAGTTTGACCCAAGGGAGGACCCAGATTGGGCAGAACACTGTGACTCAGTAGCTGTGACCTGTAGTGTGGGAAGTCCCTGACCAGTGCACAAGCAGCCCTGACACCATTGCCTCCGACCGCATTTCTGGTATCGCCCTCAGCAGCCCCAAGTCCTGTGGCTCTGCCCAGTCTCCTCCTTTTGTTTACTCAGCAAGGAGTCACTGGGTCCCCGCTCTGTCCACGAGCTACATGCAGGCAGAGAGAAGGCCGCTGTGGTTTTCAGACCATTGGGAAATCCAATGAAGACATCAGGAAAGGAAAGGCCAGTACATGGGGGAAACTGAGGCACAGGGCAGGGTCACAGCTGAGACTGCCATATGGGAGCCTGGCCCAGACTGTGACACCACAGTCAGGTGATGCTAGAAACTACCCAGCCCCACTTGCTTCCTTTTCAAGTATTAAAAATAATCATTTAGCTCCTATTTTGTGAGAAAAGAACACATGCACACAGAAAAAAATAGAGCAATAAATGGAAGCACAAAACTAAAAATCCTTCAAATTCTTCATTGTTAACATTTCTTCCGTCTTCTGATATCAAAGCACAGTATGTGTGTGCATGCGTGTGCGAGAGAGAGAGAGAGAGAGAGAGAGAGAGAGAGAGAGAGAGACCTAGAGAGGAAAGAGAACTTTCCATTACCATAACAAAACACCTGAGAACATAAACTTAAAACAATGAAGAGTTTATGTCTCACCAGTGCAACACTTCTGCACACCACGCTATGGTGTAAATACCGAGCGGACCCAGGGACTCCTGAATCAAGGGCTGGATCCGGCTCCAGCAGTGTCCTCAGGTAGGGCTGAGAGGGGTCTGGACGGCCAGGGCCCCATCTCATTGATGGATTAATCCCTCAGTGAGGTCATAACTAAGCGTCTGTTAGGAGGAGGCCCTGTCCAAGGACACCAGTGGCTTTGAAGGCTGAATCTTGCCCCAGCCCCTTTTCCTCTCTCTCTCTGCCCCCCCCCCACCTTTCCTGGCTGCCCTGGGGTGAGCATCCCTCCTCCACAATGGTCTATCTTGGAGCCGGTAGACCATGAACCAAGGTCTCTGAAAGGTGAGCCACAGTGAATGTGTCCTCCTAAACTATGTATATACAGCAACAAAAGCCAACCAGCACATCCCCGTACACTCTGTACCCCAAAACAAAGGGAACCTGGTCTCCAGCACGCAGCATGGCTGGTGAACCTTGAAGACACTGCTCGGGGAATTAATCGGGTCACAAGGGAGCATGGGTTGCATAATTCTGCTAGCTTGAGCAGGGCCCTTTTTCCTTCTGCCCTTTTGTCAGACTCACAGACACACAAAGGACAAAGAAAGGTGCTGCCAGGACAGGGCCAGGAGCAGGGTAGAGGTCAGTGTTGAGTGGGGGTCACCCCTGAGGGAGGAGGAGAGATGGTGATAGAAGGGGTGAAGTCACTCTGCCATTCGGGTGAACTGCACACTGAACATAGCCGAGATGGCAAAGGTCGGGCAGTCCTGAGTGCACACACACACACACACACACACTTGGCTCATGACTCCTGGTGCACTGCCTTTCTGGGTTCCTGGTCTACCTGCAGCTCCAGGGAGCCTCTCGAGAGGAGACAGACACAGGAAGCACTCAAGGTCAGGCTCATCCCCTCTGCACCAGCCACGGACTCTGGGTCCTAGGGCTTCCTCTCAGGCACACAGTGTGTGGGTGCCTCCCTCACCCACGCTGGGGAGAGGTTGCATCTCGACACACTGCTTTTTGTTCTCAGCACACCCTTATGGATGCATGGTCAGCTCTTCCTCTGGAGCCACGGAGCCACACGGATGGCGAGACCCAGAACAGCTGGGGAAAGCAGGCGTGTGATGAGGGGTCGGGGAAGCGTAGGGTGCACACAGGCTGAGGACGCCTGACCTCTTCACGGGTGACCCTTCCCTCCCTTCCAGTACAGCTGGCACCTGTCCCCCTCCCCGCCTGTCCCTCTGGCCTGTGCTCCCTGCCTCTGCCGAGGCTGCCTCCTCCTGTCCTGGGCATCAGGCCTGCATCCCTGCTCTGCCTCTATGGCCTCCATCAGCACTGATGCCCGGCTGTCCTGCTCCCCTCAGCCGCCTCCCTGGGGTGGAGCAGAGGTGGTCCATGAAACAGAACCACAGTAGGTGGGTGCGGCTCCCAGCGCTGGCGGTGCCGGCCCCCCAGGCTGATGCAGAGGGGTTGGGGGCAAAGGAAGGGGCTGGGAAGGCCGGGACATGGGGTCCCCGAGTTGTCCGCAGAGGTGAAGTGAGGGTACAAACCGCTGGATGAAAACCAAAGGGCCAGCTGGGATGAGTGAAGGTCTTGGCCTTGTTCATGGACTCCTTCTCTCCTTATCATCCTCTCCTTATCATCACTGCTCAGAACGGGGATCCCGTTCGCCTCTCATGGCGCCGAGTGGGGCCCCACCTCCTGCCCACAGGCGACAGCACCTCAGCTGTGCCACCTGGCAGGTAGAGGCCGTGGCCCTATGTGAACTGAGCAGGAAGGGGCCAAGGCCTGGCTCCCTGGTGACTCTGATGCCACAGGGTCTGAGGAGGAGCAAGCACTGGGTGGAAGGGTAGCGCATCATAAGCAGAGCCCAGTAGTGAAAAAGGAAACTAAAGGAAAACTCCTTCCCAACCCTGTCCAGGGAAACACTTCTGCGACGCCGGTCCCTGGCGCTGAAGAGCCAGCGGTGCCTGTCTTGGGGTGCAGTTTGCGGAGCCCTTTCCTGAGGCACTGAGTGCCCAGCACAGAGCAGGGCCCTGTGTGAGGACCTCAACTCTCCGGTCACTCTGCGGGCACTTGACATGGGCCACCTGGCCAGTACCTGCCCCATGGGGAGAACAGTGCCCAACCCCTGCCCTTGAGCACCCCAACACCCTGACCTCCACCTGCACCCCAGAGCCTGTGGCTGGGGTGCTGTGCTGAGTCTCCCGGGGCTGCCCTCTTCACAAGCCCTCCTCTCTCCTCACCGTGGGCCGCTTCCAGATGATGCCTTGAGTCCGGGGGGAGCTGGGTCCCAGGTCCTTGTAGCCCAGTGCCGATGGGCATGCTGGGAACTCAGGATCCTTGAACAGCACCCCAGAGTCCAAGCACTGCTGCCTCAGTGCCTCAAAGTCCTGGCCCAAGTACTTCATGGCATTCTGGGGCGAGCCAAGCCCCTCGGCAGTGGCCCACTGCCTGCACAAGCCTGCTGCCTGGGCCGCCATGCGGGCTGGAGGGCAGAAAGGTGGCTCTGGGACCCGTGCCCTGGGAAGGAGCTATGAGGCGGCTGAGGGAGGTGGAGCAGGCACCCACAGCCCCGGGACAAACACACACCCATGGTGCCCCACCTGCCACCGGGAGGCCTGGCACCTGTAGCTGGGAGGCCAGCACCTGTGGGCCAACCCAGCCATCAGCCCAGGAAACCCCAGGGCCTGCATGGTCCCCAGCTCTGCAGCTCAGCACCCTGATGCCGGCTCTTAGCTGAGACAAGAAGGCTTTTTGCTTCTTTCTGGTGCTGGAGATTGAACCCAAAGCCTTTGAATTGAGATACATGCCCACCTTTCTCCTTTCTCCAGTTTTTATTTTGAGACAGGATCATACTAAGTCATTAAAGTGCCCAGGCTGGGCTCAAACTTGGGGCTCTCCTGCTTCAGCATCCCAGAGTGCTGGGATTATAGGCGGACACTACCATATGGGTGAGAAGGCTTTTGTTGAGGCAAAAATTCACAAAGGAATCACTGTGAGAACTGGTCTTGAGCAGGAGGGCAAATGGTCTGAGGGGTCTCCTTTCTTCTCAGGAAAGTCTGGTCCCCCATTTCCCGGGAAGGCAGGAAGAAAGAGACCTCTCTCAGGGCGGAGGCCACAGGTTGGCCCACAGTAATTAGCTATCACCTTGGGCGAGTGATTTAACCCCTTTCCCACCTCATTTTCTCATCTGTGAAGTGGCAGTAATGAGAGGGCCTGTGTTTGGGAGGTGATGAAGTCCTGCCCAGGGCCATGCGGGTGGACCCAAGCAGCTATGGTGAGGTCAGCCAGCCCCGGAGAGTTCAGCCAGGAGTCTCCTCCAGTCCCCGGGGGTGACTCACAGCCTCGCCCGGCCCCCCTGGGGACCCGGACCCCACCGAATGGGTGGCTTCGGAATGCTGGCGTGCGGCGGGCTGGCATGTGAACTCCACTGGCTCCCAGTCTCGAGCTCTGGAACTCAGTCACCTACCAGGGACAAGGCTCTGTCAATAGGATTGAGTTAGGGATTATCTGGGCCCTGAATGCAGATGCCCTCCTGGGAGGGGATAGTAGGGTACAACCCAGACAAGAGAGAAGGTGGTGAGTCCTGGGAGGCAGAGGCAGGCTGTAGGAGCGGGGTGGAGGGGTGGGGTCGGGACCTGTAGGCCTCTGGTGTCAGCCCAGGGACGCTGACTCAGGACTCCTGGCTCCTGAAACCTGGAGAATGTGCTTGTGTTGTTTAAGCAGCTGGCGTGTGCTTGTTTGTTAGAAAGCCGCAGGAAGCTGGGACAGTTCTCATGCACCCTGGAGCACTTGCTAAAAATGCTGCTTCCCTACAGAGCCGTGGACCGCCCCACCCCAAAAATAATGAGCTTTGATTCCGGAGGTCTGAGGTCAGACCCAGAAACTGCCGCACAGCCCTCTGCCCCAGAGGATTCCAGCTCAGGGCTCCCAGGACTCACCCCAGAGCTTTGGATCAGCTGGGCCAGGGATGCCTGTGTGCCCAGCGCTTGGAGAGGGCTGAGGCTGAGCAGCAGAAAGCAGTCGCCTTCCCAGTGTGTGGAAGGAAACACGAGGCTGAAGGTGCTTCCATTGCAAGGCAAGGTGGCAATGCCCTTCAGAGGCCTGAACCAGTGCCTGAAGGACGTGTGCCTGAGCTCCCCTCTGGGCGGCTCTGCTTCCTGCCCTCAACACCCTTGGGACAGGTAAGGTGCAGTGTCGCTTGATTGGTGTGGGAGCCACCCTAGGGACTGGGGAAGCACCCTCCTGGGTATGTCAATGTAGGTCATGCAGCAGTGTGACTTTAGGTTCCACAACCTGTCCCCAGCCCTTCCTGTCTGCTGCTGGTCCCCTCCTGTGCTTCCTGGGCCGCTGTGAGCTGAGCAGCTTTGCTTCGCCAGGCCGTTCCTCCAGGATGTGCTCCTGCTGAGCACGGACTGAACCCCCTGAAACCACTAGCCGAATTCACCCTCAAGGCCTCGAACTTGGCATATGTTCCGGTGCTGGGAAAGTGACTAAAATACCCTTTCCCTGGATTTGCCGACCACCTACCATTAAGCTCACCAGGTGTGGACCATGACATCTTCACCAACCTACAGGCTGAGCCTGGTCCTCTGGGGGCTCCTGCTCCCCTGAAACCAGAGTCACACCATCAATCAACCCACACAAGATCCCCTCAGGCACAGCGATTCCAGGAGAGAGCTAACAACCCTGTGTGGGAATGGAAAGGAACCCTGGTTTTAGTTTTGGAATCTGTTTCCTCCTTGTTTGAGGCTTATGGCCAGGCCTGGGTAATCTCACTCTGCCCAGAGTGATCATTTCAGACACAAGTCTGCCAAGCTCACCACCAAACTTCAGCGCTGCCCCATGGCCCCTGGAAAGATGGTGCTGCCTCTGCTCTGTGTCCACCCGCACTGCCCTCCAGGATTCTCCCAACTAAACCTGGAGCAAAGTCACTCTGCATCTGCAGTGTCTTCCTCCATAACACCCTCCTCTTGCCCCATGCCCTGCTCACCCTGCAGCTCCAAGGCTCCCTGAGAGTTTCCTGCCCCCAAGCTCACCCCCAGCAGTTCCCTTTGGGATGCTTTTGTGGGGACTTGCAAAACACAGGCCTGAGCATCAGCTCAGCTCCCCTCAGAACAGCACAGAACAGAAGGCGCCGTTGGTTTTGCTCGTGGCTGCAGGCCTGGGTGCTAGAAAACTGAGGCGTGGCTGGAACTCAGTAGCTACTCGCTGCACCAAGGTGTCTACGCCCTGCACGGGGAGCCTGCACTGTGCACCCATCCAAGGGACTTGCCGGGCCATTGTCCCTGCTGCTCCCCCCATGCCAACTCCTCCCTCTATTCTAGGGGAAAGAGTGGGCCTCGCCCTCTCCAACCATTACTATAACATAGCTGGTGCCTTTCCCCATGAGCACCCCCTGAGGTACTCAAGCCCCACCTTGGCCCCCTCCCACTCCCAGACTCAGAGCAGCCGAGCCCTCCCTCCTCAGGCAGGGCCTCATCTGCCCAGCCACAGAGGAGCAGCAGGTGTGGAGGAGAACAGAGGGCTCTGTGCCAGTGCTGGTGGGCACACAGCCAGCGTCTACCTGGCATCAGCAGCCCGCACCTGAGAGCTGTCTCCAGCCTTGTGCTTCAGACAGCAGTGGGAGCCAGCAGCAGGGTCTGCCAGGCAGCCTCGGGCCCTGAGGAGGGGACGCCCTGGGCAGACACAGGCCCAGAAGTGCCTCCTGGCAGTGGCCCAGGCACCAAGCCATCAGCTGGGCTGGGAATCCCAGACAGCCAGATGGTGCGGGCACAGGTCAGGGAGCTGGGGCTGCGAAGCTGGCCTGGCACAGCAGCTTCGGGAAGTGCAGGTGAGAAGAACGGGCAGTGGGTTTCTGCCTCCCAGGTCCTCCAAGTTCAGAGAACCAAGGGGAGAAGGGCTGAGCCCAGCAGGGACAGCCCAGATCTCACACACAGTGCCAGTGTGAATGCAAACTGTGACAGTGTCTGGGAAAACAGTCTGGCAGTTCCTCAAAACACCACTGACAGAGTTGCCTGGTATCCCAGCAACACTCCAGGAGCCCAAAGGACTGGAAGAGAAGTGAATGCATAGGTGCACACAAACCTCACACAAATGCCCGTAGCAGTGTCATTCACAGCCGCCAAACAGTGAGGGCGGTAGATGGGTGGCTTAGCACACAACGTGTGGTCTGTGCACACAATCAAAAAAGGAGCAGAATCTGTTACATGCTAAAGAATAGATTGTAAATTAAACAAAGCGAATCACAAAAGGCCACACAGTGCATGGCTCCCATCGCATGAAACGCCCAGAATTTTCAACCTCATGAAGATGGAAAGTGGATTTGTGGCTGCCAGGAGTGGGACAGAGAGGAAGACAGCTGGCGGTGGACAGCCACGAGGTTTCTTCCTGGGGTGGGGCCCATGGGAAACAGCAGAGATGGGGCGCTACTAAAGAGCAGCCCTCTCGGTGCAATGCTTGTAAATGGTGGTCTCTGCTATGTGAACCACGGTTTCATAACACATTTCGGGGGGAGGGCACAAGATTTTCCCACGGGAAGACAGTGATAACCCACGCATGCGCCATGGACAGCTCAGCTTCCTGCCTGAGGCGATGTCAGGACAGAGTCCTGGAGCCCCCAGAACCAGCCAAGAGGAAAGAGGGGCTGCCTGGGCAAGTGTGGGCCCAGCTGTCCCCAGGCCGCTGGCGCCCCCGCCCCGTGGGTTACAATGGATGATCAGCAGGGGCTGGGGGCAGGGGCCCCATGGTGCTAAGACCCTGTGGAAGGTGCTGAGACCTCCATGAGAGCTGATGGAGACACTCAGAGGGTTCAGATCAACAGCGTGCAGGCCTGGCCAAGCCCTCGGACTGACACTGTGGACTCCACTCTGCAGGCCTGGGCCAGACAGTGCTGCCCCCAGCACGAGGTCCTAAGGAGAAAGAGACAGGATGGGAGGAGGGGGCTCCAGTCCTGCATGGCAGAGACCTGGAGGAACTGAGGAGCCCCGAGAGGACAGAGAAAAAGGCCCCGAGCCCAGGAGCGAGCTAGAATCACTTTGCAGGTGGAAGCAGGTGGTCTTAGGGTCTCCAGCAGACCAGGCGCCCCTCTGCAGCCAGTGCCAGAGAACTGAGAATGCAACCAAGGATGCAGCTCCAGCCTCCTCTGTGCTGAGGCAGAGACCTGTTCGTGGCCAGGATCCTCATTGGGTTTCACCAAGCCTCGGAACACGTTCTGGTCACTGCAGTTCCAGGTTCCCGCACCACGGAGTCACCGGGGAAATCTTCTGTGCTGTCGCAGCCTTCACTGGCTCCTGGCCAGCCCCACTCTGGGGACTTTTGGGGATGGGAGCTGTGCTCAGCGTCTGGGGCTGGCTACACGCATGTGTCAGGGACTCTGCTTCCAGGTGGGGTCCTGTCAGGGCTCACAAACCCAACCTCAGGCAAGACAACAAATATGTGGCTGGGAGCACAGGGAAACCGTGGCAGATGCAGCCCAGGGGAGCGAGGGGCAGGGACTGGGGTGTGGCTCC